CTATTCGGAAAGTTTTGGGCTTTTTATTTTTCATTTACTATATACAAATTATTTCTCATTTTTGGCTAAGTTTTTTATTCTAGCATTTCAGTGTTGTTGTTGTTTGTTGTTGTTTGTTGTTGTTGTTGTTGTTGTTTTGTTCGGATATGAAACAAAATGCATAAATTAGTACTATTTTATCATTATGATAACACTATCATAAAGCAAATTACATGTATTAAGAAAATTAAACCATACATTACCCTAAGTATCATACAACAACGAGAGAAAATACCCCCAAACATTAAAAGAGACTTCATTCGAGTAATTTGACATGCTGGGAATGAAAATGTTTTTCGGAAAAATATAACCACTTGATGTAGGGTATGGATCAGTAACTTGTATGCCAAATTTCTTATCCAACGTTCACTCCATTTTTTAAAAATAGTCTTTTTGTATAAATGACCCTTAAAACGAATCGTGATAAGAATCGCACAAAATGCAGATTTTTTAATTAATTTTGAGTTTATTTATTTATCATCGTTTCCATTTTATTTCATCCACTTTCTGATTAAGTGTCCCAGATGATGTATGTAAAAATAAAACAAAATTTTGAATATCAAACTCATATTAACAATAGCAAGCGTTTAGTGCTGTCTGATGTTGTCAATGTTGTTGACTATCAAGCTGGTCCTTCAGGATTACAAATTATATTGTGATAAAAATACCACTAGTGCGGGGTTGTTCTTTTTCTCATGTTGAAACTCACAGAACTGCAGACGAATGTATGAATACATGATTATACACATTTTTGTTAGGTAATTGTAAATGGAGCCGAAAAGCAAGACGAACACCTGTTTCATTAAAACTCATTATCAATCAGGTGGTTTACAAGCAATTATCGAGAGAATACCAACATACTGAATTCTAATTAAACTAAGTCTAGTGTATAGATTAAAAAACAGACGGTTTCGTTTGTCTAGGGTTTAGATCTTATTCCGCCTCAAGATTAATTAAAGTATAATCTATTTCTATCGACAGATATTTAATCAATTGGAATATTGTCAAATTACACACATAATTATAGAAAAAACAGTCGAATAGATGTTTCCTGTTTTGATTGGTTTACAGTTTTATTCTCTTTTTTGTGAAACCTGTTATGATAAATCAGATAACCATAAAATAAAACAACAGTATCTATCTATTATTTTTTAGTAGTCAATGCCACATCTACCATAATACAAGAAGTAGTTTATATTTTCTGACTAAAGAATTGTTTATTTAAATGAAAATAAGGACTCATAAGATTAGGCCGACTTCTTATACTACTTCATTACCATCTCAAGTTCATCTTTCATGATTTGCCGGCATAAACATGATGTCTGATCTTGTTCTGTACTATTCCCGTTTCAAATCAGTACATGAAAATTATTTTAAAATGATGAATAACTTTTGTTCCGGGTCAGAGTCGCACTTCTAGAGGGGGGATTTTGCCATTTCGCAAAATAGCACCATATCTCATCGCGTATTACAATTAGATGGCCTAAATTGTTAAGCCAATGTAAATGTTGCATTTACATTGTCCTGCATAAACAGACTCAACCCGATTTCATTTAACAGTAGTGTTTACTTTCTATCAAAATATTTCTTTTGCATTTATTACGTGTGATCTTAGGATATGTTTTATAATACTATATTAAGATTTAAATGCACCCTGCATTTCATGATAACTTGCGCTGAAATCTGATCAAAATCCGTAATCTTGCTCACAAAATAACGTTCATGATGTAATAAAGCATTTGTTTGTTTGTTTGTTTTTGGGTTTTACGTCACATCGACACAGCATAGGTCATATCGCGACGTTCCAGCTTTACTGGTGGAGGAAGACCTCAGGTGCCCTTCCGTGCATTATTTCAGGCACGAACGGGCACCTGAGTAGAACCACCGACGTTCCGTAAGCTAGCTGGATAGCTTCCTCACATGAAAGAATCCAAAGTCCCTGTCGGGATTCAAACCCACAGCGGTGAGGGGCAAGTGGTTTGAAGTCAACGACCTTAACCACTCGGCCACGGACGCCCCAATAAAGCATTTGAATGCCATACTATCATCTTTTGCATCATGGCAAAATTGTATTATCACTTATTATTGGTAAATTTTATAGGACGAATAGATCAAAACCAGTCTAGTAAACTTTATCACATATTTACAAACTTTGAGCGTTCTTGTGCAATAATATCTAAATGCTTATCACCTTTATTGAACAGATTATACAAGAATGGATATAAAAATCGTAAGTTTGGATAATGGATATATTTTGTAACGGAAAACATTATTTTGCCTGTACGTATTTTAATAAAAGTATGCATTGACTTACTAGTAATCAAACATACATCATTTGTATTACAATACAATATGTCTTCTATGATTGGCGTCCGCGCCGAAGCGCGGCGCTCTTATGGAATGAGATCAGATTTTGTGAAAGGGCGACAGCAACTTCTCGAGTTTTTTAGTCGGTCATAATAAAAGCCGAAAATTCCGATCGGTATGAGGGTGCTTGATTATTAAATAAGAATGAAATGTCGCGATATGTTACAATGAATTTTCGCAATGCAAACATTTACAAATGAAATAACCTTTTCCGTCAATAAATCGCGCTCTTCGGGGTTTTTTATTTATCATTTTGTAGTACACAGTCGGTTATCATGTCATGGTATGTTATTGTTGTACATGTATCCTAGAATGATCAGTTGATGACCTAAATATTCCAAAAACCTATTTATAGATATATCTTTTTATCACTCCTATCGGTAAATGCCGGTCTCTCCCGGTCTATTTTGACCAGGATTTACTAGTGACCGGCGAATAGTACCACACGTTTATTGTCCGGTCTCTCCCGATTTTGGAGTAGATGTTTGATATCGTTACAATTGGAAAAAAACAACAATAGCATGTACCATTTTATCTATATGAGATAAAAACAATAAATATGTACACGGATTTATATGTAATATAAATCCGTGATATGTACAATAATTGAGAAAAAGGTACATTTTTTATGGTATTAAAATGACATTATCAACTTTGAAACATTTTATTTAATTATTCAATTTGTTATCCGTGTTTAGTAAAGATGCCGAGGAATTATTCAAAGTTACAAATTAGATTTTATGAATTATTCAATTGATCGATAATTTAAAAAATGATAAAGAAAAATACAATGTACATGTACATGTTTTAAGAATAAACAATATTATATATTGAAAGATAAACCATAATTTACTGACTTGTTCCAGTTAAGCTTTTATTTATAATCGTCGGTCAATATGACAATTGAATTCTTAAAATTTATTTTACAATTTTAATAAAAAAGAGTAGTAAAAACTCAGTATTAAAATAGCACATAAAACACAAAAAAGAATAAAAGAAAACAATATTCATAAAATTTGTATTTTTTTAAAATTAAAATTAATAGATATTACAATTATTGTATAATAAACAATTATGCTCAACATGATCAACATGGTAATATAACCAGTGTCATATTTTTACTAACTTAAAGTGTGAACAGATACCTTAAGGGGGTCTTCGCTAATAGCGATAACATGTACATAATAAGGGACAAATGTGTGGTACGTGTTGATCATGCGTTACACATATGGATTATAAATGATTGCATACATGTATATCCGTTGCTATTAATAACCACGATCATAAAGAAATAACAAGTAATATTCTAATCTCTAGCATGCCAATCAAAGTTCATAATGAACAATGTCTTTCGTCCGCTCATTCATAAGTGGTATACATTTCTGGTAGTTTATAAGAATATCTTGTCATCATATGTGTACTAGTCTTCACTTGCTGCATTTCTTGCTTGGACGCCCTTTGATGCTTTGCATCAATGCTTTTCTTGTTTGTAAATGGAATGGCATATAGAATGATACTCTGAGCAGTACAAGTGGAAGACTCTCGGCAAGTCAAAAGACTATTTTTACTAAAGATTTTTGTCAAGTAACAGACTAGTAAACAATGACCACCGTTGATATTACATTGTAAATACCATGTCATATGATTAACATACGCCTTTTTACCTCTTTGTCATTAAAGGCCCTTTAACACTTATAATTGTAAAGAAGAAAAACATTTATGTAAGGTATAATATAACTGTTATGACAGAGTATATAAAGATATATTTCGTGTTTATGTACAATTATATCAATTTATGAGTTATTGTTAATTTAACTTAAAAACATGAATGATAACTAATAGTTTGGGTTATGATTTTCACCATGACTAGGTTATGTCTGTTTTACACAGACATCTATATTGAACACTCTTTCCGTATATTATACACACAAATAGCACTTTCATATTTATAGATGTCACAGGGTGAGAAAAATGTGCAGCCTGACCAGGACTCGAACCCAGGACCCTCGGAATACCGTTCCGCGGCTCTACCGACTGAGCTATCCGGCCGCTTACACATCTTCTCCCCTAAATAGTGAACAGTTCTGAACCGTGACATACTTCACCACAATATTGAAATTCGTCCTCGAATTTCAGAAAGCTACAGAGCAATGCTAATTGAATTCTGAGCTATAAGCAGTCACGGCCCCACGTTGGGCGCCAAATGTCACAGGGTGAGAAAAATGTGCAGCCTGACCGGGACTCGAACCCGGGACCATCGGAATACCGTTCCGTTGCTCTACCGACTGAGCTATCCGGCCGCTTACACATCTTCTCCCCTAAATAGTGAATAGTTCTAAACCGTGACATAAAATGTCACAGGGTGAGAAAAATGTGCAGCCTGACCGGGACTCGAACCCGGGACCCTCGGAATACCGTTCCGCGGCTCTACCGACTGAGCTATCCGGCCGCTTACACATCTTTTCCCCTAAATAGTGAACAGTTCTGAACCGTGACATACTCCCCCGCTATATTGAAATTCGTCCTCGAATTTCTAATGGGTAAAGAGAACAATGTGAAATTGAACTCGGAGCTTATACCATCACGGTCCCCCGTTGGGCGCCAAATGTCACAGGGTGAGAAAAATGTGCAGCCTGACCGGGACTCGAACCCGGGACCCTCGGAATACCGTACCGCGGCTCTACCGACTGAGCTATCCGGCCGCTTACACATCTTCTCCCCTAAATAGTGAACAGTTCTGAACCGTGACATAGATAACGCCAATTGTTCGCATTTTTATATCAATTCCTTGCTCCCTCTTCTTCTCGCGAGAGCTGCAAGATCTCGCGTTGTTTTCATAGAACATGTTCGTGGACGAAAAGCGTCATCTTCTTCATCTGTATCGGTACCGTCCAATGCTGTGACACTTGACGCTGATCGTACTGAATAATTGTCTAGTCCAAATTCACTGCCTTCAGTTGATTGTAGACTTGTAGTGGAGTCTGTCGCGGGACTTTTTCTGTATTTCCTGGATTTGGTCAATGAGTGGATAGTGTCTTGAATATCACAGAATTGTCTTTTAAGTAAAATATCATGTTGTCTCAACAGTATCTGTAAATAAATAAAAACAATTATGTCCATTAGAAAATTATAACTACTCTTAACTTATCGTTACAAAACAGTAATTAATATTCCTTTGAAGTTTAAATCAGATATACTACTATTAAAATCTTTTTAAAAAAGTCGATTCATTAAGTGCTTCTCTTTTTTCTCCTTTATAAAGTAATTTTGACAGAATCTGTATTCTTACTATATTTAGTTGTTGTTTTTTTTCTATGTCACCGCAGCTTTTGTAATAATGTGGCAAGAAGTGATAGGCGTGTCCGTATATGTGTGTGTGCATGCTTATGTATGTTATATTAAATTTATAAATAACTTCAACATTTCACCAACAAAAACAAACAACAACAACAATACAAAAAATCAAAAATGTTCGATTTCAACAAAAATTGAAAGTACTGTTCATTTTGTGTAAGATTTTTACGATTATTAAAAGAAAATAATATGAAAGCATTAAACAAATCTTTACCCCGAGCGTTACCTCGTGCAACTCTAACAAGTCTATTCAAATCATCACACAAAAAGTCACATTGACCTCGCCCGGAGTCACCTTGTTTTTTGTTTGTATACAAGTAAAGGGAAACCTTCAAAACTACAAGGCCTAATGTTATGAAAGTTGCTATGCCCTGGGTCAAATCCAGTCCTGTTTCTTATGTTAAAAAATTGCTATATTGCTTGTTTTATATAAAACGTTACTTACGAGCTCTTGTTTCACCCACATAATGGCTTGCATCATATCCCGCATTCGTTCATCTTCTGTCTCCTCGTGCTCAATGATGATCGATGACTTCCGTTTTGAAGCAGACGACAAACCAGGCGACATTTCGTCTTTGGAGAATTTTTCATATCTTTTAGGCAATCGCAAAGCACCAGGTAAACTTCCGTGTCGTAACGGTATTATTCCATTCTCCATTTGGAGAAAAGTGAACTCACAACTTTTACTTCTACATCTCCTGTAAAATATGTAAAGCTATCTATAATTATTAATATAAATAATAACCAGATTTTTCACAGAGTTATAACAGGTTGAAGTTTTTTCACTTTACGATACGATTGAACTCTCCTTGTTTTCTGTAACGCTATACATGTTTTATATACATATATTGTTTTATGTATTCCAAAAAGTAGGTAACAAAATGAAATTTGCAAGTTTGAGTACAAAGCTTTAAAAATATCAAGAACAGTAATTGTTGTTCATGTACATGTAATTTCATGTAATGTCGCATATTCTCTAGAAAACGTGAAAAAGCTTATTCTTCAAAGCAGTTAACAATAGAAAGATGTTCAAAGTACATAAGTAATATAGTAATAGTAATATGCATTAACAGTGAATGGCACGTGCATCAAATCTTTGCTATACGGTTGAAATCCTATTTAAAAAAAAACATCATAATGTTGTAATTTTTTTCTGTTTAAGTACAATCTTATTCTGTGTTACAACCCTTTCGAAATCGACGATGAAATTATGGAAACATTATCATTATACTGTTGCTATTCTGTTCAAAATATTTCAGAAGGTATAACTCAATACCCTTGGATACCAATGTTGACCACTGTGTGATTGAAGTATAAAATACGTAATCTATTAGTTTTATACACATTTTATATAATGATATTATGTTTATCTAATCTGCGATAAACATCATAGGCAAAAATGAAGGAAGTGTCTGAAACATTCTTGGCAACTTTTACTATACAAGTATTAATTCGTAATATACATATGATACGTATGGCTCAAAAATGCTAGAGCAATATTGTCGATTAGTTTAAATGTTCAAAAAAAAACATTTTAAACAAAATGTGAAAATACACACACTGTCAAAAAAATTCTTGACGATTAATTCAAACATTTCTCACAACCATTATTACATCTTATCACCTTATCACATTTGCGTAAACAATAACAATCCTAAAATCTTAAAACTTATTTTTTCAATGGCATAATTTAAAAGAAGGTACAATTCCATGCAAAAAGTAAAACAAAAATACCTCAGCATGTTTGCCCGTTAAACTCGAACTTTATCCGGTGTAAGAATTAAAATCATTATATTTATGTAATGTATATCAAAACAAACACACACTTTCACAATAAAATCCCTTAATGTTTAGAGTAATTACATTTCAATTTTTCCTTCATTTTCTGTACAATTCACACACAAAATGAAAAAACGTGTACTTGGCCATGTGGTAACAATATTCAATATGATTTACACCGTGTTTTGAATAAAACGTTGAAGACAAGAAAGTCAGGTAAACTTAGAGTAGCATCAGCAACTCTGTGTTAATCTGACAAATCTTACAGACTGTAACTGTTAGCAGACATTCTAATAACAGTTCAGGCGTACTTGCATTTTAGTATGACTTAACATAAATATAAACATTTAGTTAGGTTTCATGTGTTAGTTTTAAAACAAATACCCAAAATTGATAAGATCAATGGCAAATGATGTTATAGTTATTCTTCTATCTACTTGAAGTTTTGAAAAAAGAAAGACTTATGCTAACACTAAATTCTCGTAGGTTCTAAAAATGCATTGTTAAACGTTTTAATAGTAGTTGCAATGAGTAATTGCAAGGGTATAAAAGAAACAATAATATTTCAAATGATGATATTTAACCTTAAACTTATCAATTTTTGAAAATAAACTTTTATAGACAATAAACAATAAAAGTATTTGATAAACTATTTTACATCATACTCAAAGTTTAGGTTGGTGATTATGTGTCACATTGAAAAACAGTCAAGTGTTTACTTTAGTTATAACAAACATTTCTGAGACAAAACGCAATCTGTTTGCATATGCCATAGTATACAATGTATATTTTCCATTTTTCAAAACATTTTAAATAACCTGGATCCAGTTCATCACGGTATACAAACAACATAATTTTGTTTTCAATTGAAAATTTCAAATCTATTAACATTTGCAGACTAACACTTTAACAAATACATTTAGCAATAATCGTATTTAAATTATGTTTGCATAATCCGTAAACACTTCATCTTAATCATAACAAATATTCTTTTCAAATCAAATCTTTATAATAAGTTCGTATATTTAAACTTATGGTACGGTCTGTTTATAAATTCAACAACCAATTCGATTTTACAAATACTTTAAAGGCACTTTATGCCTCAGAAAGGAATAAATATTTACTTCTTTAGAAAGGTCAAATATTAGTTTTATAACGTTTAATTAATGGTTTTAGGGCATTTTAAATGCTTGTTAAATGAATGAAATACCGTTTAATGTAAAATAATGTGTCATACAAGCAGAACAGAACAGAACAGAACATACTCTTTATTCTCTTAGGTACATAAGTACAGTATGAGGAAAATAATCATAAAACACAGATTTAAGTTTGACAAAGGTGTATAAGTAATACATTGGGGGAGACCGTAATAAAGTTTGAAAGTAGAACATAATCCGTATATGTAGATACTATATAGAAACAAACAAAAATATGTGAAATGTAATGTAAGATTATGCCTATATTCTGATAATTACTTAAATTTGGCCATTAAGGTTTTACAAAAAAATAGACAAATGCTTTAATTTGTCAGGTGATTTCATATTCAACAAACTATTAAAACAACTGTCAGTGTTTGAAACTACAAAATTTAACTTATTGGTAAGAATTGACCGTTGATACATAAAGAAAGGGCAGCTTAATAAATAATGTGTTTCGGTGCCTAAATCATCTAGGTCACAAAGTGTGCACTTTCTGTCATTGAATACTGTTCCGTCCCACCTTCCGGTTTCAACAGGAAATTTATGATTAGAAGACCGAAATTTAAACAAATTTAATGCGTCACTATGCGGCAATAAGTTAAATATGATTCAAATTCTAATGTGGATTTAAATGAATTATATATTTTGCCTTTATTAGAAGATTGCAAATTCCCGTACCATTGTTGCTTGTACTGATCTATTAACGTGAGTTTTACCAATGCACGTGTATTTAACGGTATATTTGTATAAAATTGATTTAACCACAGGTATGAACGGCCAGCTAAATCAAGTATTCTCTTAAAGTACGAGGTCCATTTAAAAGTTGCGGTTTGACGATTTACCATATATGTATAAAGTTTAAACGATAACTTGTTAAGGTCACCAGATAGTAAGCGTGTCCAAAATCCTATCATCCTGCTTTTAACTACAACTGAGATAGGATACCTTCCCAATTCACCGTGTAATATATAAATAGGTGTACTTCTACGGGCGTTTAATAGTTTGCGCAAAAAATCGTAATGAACTGATTCTAACATATCTAAGTTTTCGAAGCCAAAATTTCTGAGCCATATGTTAGAATCGGTAAGACGGTGTGATCGAATAATTTTATGCTCAAGTCAATTGGTAAGTCAGCATTTCTAATTTTAGAGAAAAGTAAAAACATTGCTTTTTTGACTGCTCAACTATGTGTTTGCGGGCATTAAGAAATGACCCGGTACTTGAAAATTTAATTCCTAGATAATGATATGTATCAGAAAAATCGAGAATATTATCACCAAGTTTGAATTCGTAGTTACGAACAGACCGACAACCGAACACAATAACTTTTGTTTTGTTCAGGTTCACTGTAAGATCCCATTCTCTACAATAAGAATTAAAAGCGTTCAGACATATTTGGAAATCCGTTGGGTCATCTGAAATAATAACGGTGTCATCAGCATACAAAAAGACTAAAAGTTTAAGCCAATTAGATTCATTTACATCGTCTTCAAGTTTTACACCGATGCCACCTGAATCTTCAATACATGTCTGTAAATCTATAAGAAAAAGAGCGAACAAAAGAGGCGACAGATTCTCACCTTGACGGACTCCATTCATGCATGCAAAAAAGGGGGACAATTCACCATTAAGGGAAACACAAGATTTAATGTTACTATACATATTTTGAATGACTTTTAGAACCTTACCATTGATGTTAGAATTTAACAACTTTAGCCAAAGACTAGTCCTATTTACTTTATCAAATGCCGCAGAAAAATCTATAAATGCGCAAAACAATTTTTTCTTCTTATGTTTCAAGATGTTGATTATTGAATGAAGGGTAAAAATATGATCCTGACAAGAAAAACCTTTTCGAAAGCCAGCCTGATTTACATTAAGAATATTATTAGATTCTAAATATTTAGTTAATCTGCAGTTAAGTATTGAGGTAAACAATTTCCCAAGACAACTAAGTAAAGTTATGGGGCCTATAATTGGATGGTTCTTTTGGATCACCTTTGTTTTTGAATAATGGAACGATAACTCCATTAAGCCATGATGAGGGCATATAACCTGTGTCTAAAACAATGTTAAAAAGTTTTGTGTAAATCGGTAAAAAAATATCCTGTGTATTTTTTTATGTATTCGTTAAGTATATTATCGACAGGACTGCAGGCTTTACCATTCTTAAGACAATTTATGTTTCTTATTATTTCGTTCGTGGTGATTTGGGAATTTATTTCTTCGTTAAAATTATTTTGTTGCATTGGATTTGCACTTGAGGACAAGGAGCCCGTATTTGCATCCTTAAAAATAATTATAAAAATCGTGCATGCTTGGCATCTTGTTGTTAGAAGGCTTTGGATTTAATTTATTCAAAAAGTTCCAGTACGACTTAGGATTATTTGATTGCATAGATCTAAGATAAATTGACCTTTTATGTTTATATTGTTGCACATAACGATATATAATACGTTTATAAGACTTGCTAGCCTCATTTAATAGACGCTTATTGTAATCACTAGGGTATTGTTGATACCTTTTCTTAACGCGGTGATAATGTTTTCTAGCTCGATGACACTCGGGACCAAACCAAGGCCTTTTATTATAAAATTTACTACGCGCACGAGATTTTTGTGAGAAAGTAGTGTTTGCCGCAGTAGAAAGTAGGTCGCTTACCTGGAGTGTATTGTCCTAGGATGATAATTTGGACTTAACGGTGCATGGTTAAGTCCACAAACGGGGTTATCTGGATTATTATACGATATTGTAAAAATAAACACTTACATATACTATAAAGCATTATTCTTACAGTATCGTTGGTGTATTACCGTTATGGCTCTGTCGGTTGATCAAAGTTATCGTAACTTTTAGTATTTTGTACTCATAGGTTCGAACCCCACGTAGAGCCTTTTCATAACCACAATTTTTCTTCTTGCTCTGTTTTTTTTATCATTATTATTTATTTATTTTTTCGTTTTCCTTTTTGTTTATTCTTATAATATATATTTTATAGTATATATTCATTTTTTTTATTTATATTTTCTTTTTGTATATTTTGATCGCAGTGTGAAAAAATATTCGATCTCATATTCATGCATGTACATGTATATGAAAAGAAAAACAAAAACCGGTCAAACTTGTTTTCTGAACAATTGACTGTTCTGAGGTAAAAAAAAATGTGTCTTAGTAATGGTCGAACTTCAGCCTGTACGGGTAAAACACATTCCTGACACGGTTGCTCTACCTACTACGCTAACAAGAAATATGGTAACAGGCAGTTTTATTTTCAAATTTATAGGTTGTGGGATTGATCTGCCTTACCTATTTTTCGCATTGTTATTGGTCTTTGTTATGTAAACAAAGGCTCAAGTTATCATCCTAGGACAGTAATATAGTCAACTGTTTGTTGTGACTGTGGGGAGGAGTTAAGTTGTTCAGTAATGCGTTGCAAGCGTGTCAAGTCTATGTTATTACGGTATTGTGTAAGTTTATCATTTTGCCAATGTATATGTTGTGTTTCACTTTTAGTTTGTTGAATCGGTTCAGGTGGGACGGAAGCACCTATTACTATACTTAATAAACTATGTCCGTCTGACAGTAAAGGGTCCGTTTCAATAACATTAAAATACTCAGTATACTCAAAACAGTAAGCCGATGAAATAACGTAATCAATGACAGACTTGTGTTTAAAAGTAAAAGCACCATTTTGATCGTTTCCAATTCGACCATTTAAAATAAACATATTATTATTTCGACATATATCTATCAAGCGTAAACCATGAGAATTTATTCTACGATCTTGGGATTTCCTGTCTAATGGCACGGACAAATTCTCTAAAATTAAATGCTTATCAAAATACGATTGCGTTAATATGTCTACGTCAAAGAAATCGCATAAAAATGGGTCAGATGGTACGAAATCTCTTAACTCGGACGTCCTTGAGGTAAAGTCCCCAATTAAGTATACATATTTAAATTTACAACACATATTCACAACATTGTTTTCAAGCATGTAAACAAAACGGTCGTTTGACGTACATAAAAAATACTACACTAAAACACTTTAAATGTACTAATTGCCAAAAAGCAACAGAAGAAGAAGAAGACAGTTCAAATAATTGACCATGAGTAACTTATTGAAAGCTATGAAAGAATACCAATAATAAATAAATAAAATGAAAGCATTCCTGGGGCATAATGGGCCCTTAAAAGAAAGAATGAAATGGAATATAACATGTGTTTATGTAAATGTACATTGTGTTCTAAAACTGTTGTCATAATTAATTGTAAATTATCTAGCCTGCCGAAAGAATATCACTTAATACAACAAGTTGGCACTCATAAAATATTAAAGTTTTAGCATTTTTCAATTTTCTTGCAAAACATATGAATAGACACATAGACCTCATAAAATTATATTCTGCATTTTGAGATATTATCCGCCGCACAAAAAAGCTACATAGTAAACTTATAAAAAGATATGATCTATATCAGAATAGTATTCTACGTGCAATAAAATAAACTGTTCGCTTTTGCTTAAATAAAAACAACAAAAATAACTGTTTAGAAACACTTTTTTAGGTTTCAAGATATAAATATTTTACTGACTGAAATATCACCTGAAGAACAACAATTTCTTCTAAATCTTGAAAGGTTAGTGTAGTGTATATCAAATTTAAAGTAGGTTGTTATGTGTATTACAGTTGTCACACTTTTTCAGTTAACAGACGAAGTAAGCAACCTGATCCAATAGCTAAAGCTAACTGTCGTGTATTGAATTAAACAAACTGGGAAAATATTTTTTTCATCATTACTACAGTTGGAATATAAAAAAAAACGCGGTATATCTATCTTAATTTCGAGACAGCAAAAGAAACATCAGTGCATTTCAACAAATTATGTTAACTCAATAAACATTACTTTTCATTACGAGAAAAAAATGAGTTATGCAGCATTATATTAGTTTGATAGGAACTTCCATTATCATGCGCCACATGCCAAACGGTTAGCATTCACAAAATACAACTAAACTAAAAGTATTGTTATAGTTGTAAGGTCGATCAAAAGAAATTCTTTTTTCTCCAGAAGATATAAAAATACGATAAAAAATAACATTTAAAACTTTAATATTTTTAATATATCAGATAAAAAGATCGGAACAAAACTGTTAATGTAGACCAACTTAAAAAGAAGTTGCTTAGATCAGGTGTAGTATATATATACCGTTTTGGCAGGAATAGTCACGTGACACGCACCTACTTCTTGGTAGAATTTTCAATTTTATCGAATTTACGTGTTAAAATGGAAATAGCTGTGTCCAAAAAAGTCAGTCACCTAGATCACGTGAAATTGTATTATGCCATATTAATGTTTCAGTGTTAGGCCCACAAATAAAAGAAATGTCAAGTATTGATTAATTACTTTATATCTGAAATCATTAAAATTTCTTTATAAAAGTTAACTTATACCCTGTCACTATTAAAATATGCATGTTATATTTAATTTGTTTGTCTGTGTATCTCTTAGTTTTAAGATAATAAGAATTCTTACCTCAATAGTGATTATGAAATCATACACTTTTTTGTTTTGAACTATAAATTGTGCCGTTTCTTTTTAATACGTTCATAAAAAACACTTCAGAAGAATGTTTAATAACATTTAAAATCTCTCACATTAATAGCACAAAATACTAAATACACAACATACATTCCGGTTCACAATTGAATCAAAACAGAAATAAATTTGACACTGAAGTTCGGATTATGTTTGCATCCTTGGTCGTGAGAAAACACTATCTCATACAAAGGAAGATTTTAATCGTTTAACTTTTATGTTTAACAATACTGTTATAAGATCAAATTTATTTCCCTTTGTTCCTCCAAATTCTAAAATTTCAATCGAAGCATCTTACGCTTAAGACTATCATAAAAAGATCATTGGAAAATATGTGTGCTTTTGTCGGAGTTTCCTTTGTTGTATTACAAAACGATGTCAGATAAGCCCCGTGTATATTTCAATTGGTATTTTTAAATGATTCTTTAAACTCTTTTTTAATTATTTTAGCTTTTTTGCTTCCGTTTAAACTATAACATTTTCATGTTTTTTGTCAATCGTTGTGTGTAAAGGAAAGAATATATCCTTTGAAGAAAAAATAAAGTGTTTTTTATCCAATTTTATCAGTTAAAGTGTATTTTAGAATCGAAATGATTTCATTGATTACAAGTACAAAGGTAAGAAAACCAATGCTCACTGGTGCTATAATTACCACAGCTCCTTGTAGTTTAAAACCTATTATTATAATGTCTCTATATACTCTCTTCAAAAATTATTTCCTTCACAAGACACTTATTTCACTTAACAAACAACATGTATGATATTTCTTGCACATAATAATATAATAAATTTTACAATATAACTATGGACAATTTAACGTTGCATATCGTCTTTATCACTTTATACTTAAATCAACACTGATATTATTAGTTTGGCTCGATAATGTCTTCCTATGTTATAAACAAGAATCTCATATTTCATAACTATCCATCACTGTATTTCAATAAAATAAATTCTTTATTTCCTCATATAAGCAAATACAGGTAACTTAAATGACATTATTATACACGAATGTGGCAAATAACTTCGGTGAACCAAATATTCGATTTCGCTTCAATGCATACCAGTTTAAGTATTAATATACAAGATAAATCATGTTGATAAAATAAAACATCGTATAACAATTCTGTTTTAATGCATTAAGTTCTTTTTACACTTATTAACATAGTATATTTTGATAAACGGCAAGTGGTTTCTTAGTCTACTTCAATAAATTTATCATAAGCATTGTTAAAAGAAATAATAAAGACAAAAACATTTGTTGTACTTTTTTACCACTGTAAACACTGTATTGAGAATATTAATTCGTTGTCCTTTTTAAATTGTGCTGTTGTTATATTTGTTTTAAAATAATAAAGGGTAAAAAATCCAAAAAGAATGAAAAAAAAGGATTCCTAAAGAACATCCAACGCGGCAAAATTGAAACTGTTACAGGCTTCTGTTCATTGACAGTATTGAAAAGTGCAAGCTAACGTCCGTGCTAAATATCATTAGCTTAAGAAGAATTCAACATTTAAACAAGAAATGATGAAATTTATAATTTAGAAACATGTGTTTATAAAGAAGTTCATCAAACAATGATTAAAGTATCAATCCGCCTGAAGATATTATATGGTCCTGCTACTTTTTTTATAGACACATCAAAAGTTATTATCATTTGAACATATTTTCATACTTAATAAAATAAACAAGAACCTTATGAAGTACATAAAAACTTTTTATATTATTTTTAGAAGAAAACTGACAGAAATATACATTGAATGATAAGTTGACTTTTCTATTGTCCCGCAAAGTTGTATTTTAAAATAGAATTTCTATAAATCCACTTAATCCATTGCCCTTTTTGTGTCGCCTTGAAAAACGCGACATATAGGGGTTACTTTTGTCGGCACCGTTGTCGTTGTCGGTGTCGGCGTCCCCTTATGCTTGTCCGGACCATAAGTCAGTCATTATAAGTCGGATTGACTTCAAACTTGGTATGCATGCTTCTTATAATGATCCGAAGTGCATTTCACAAGAACCGATACTCTGCACTTCTTAATTTTTGAGTTATTGCCCTTTGTTAATTTTCATTCTTTATTTTTGTCCGGGCCATTTCTCCTAATGTATAAAAGCTATGGACTTGAAACTTCATATGATGATAGATCTCATTAAGAAGAAGTGCAGTGCATAAGAACTGGTACACTGCATTTCTTATTTTTTGAGTTATTGCCCTTTGTTAATTTTCATACTTTATTTTTGTCCAGGCCATTTCTCATAAATTATAGAAGTTTAATAGACTTGAAACTTCATAGGATGATAGATCTTATTGATAAGAAGTGCAGTGCACAGAAACTGTTGCTTTGCATTTTTATTTTTGAGTTATTGCCCTTTGTTAATTTTCGTCATTTTTATCCTGGCATCTGCAGATATGTTCATACGGTTCTTACCATAGAACCTTCAATGTGTCTCGTACGAGCCATTTCGTGAAAAGCGGAACTAAATAAAATGAAATTTGAAAGGGTGTAACAAGTTATGCAGTCTGCATTCACAGATAAGTAAGAAAAACAGGAGGCAACATTTTCTAAGGGTGACTAAACAGTATTCAAGTAGGAATACTGGAACCACTCAAAGGGAAAAATATTAAATACAAGGAGCTAAAAGTACCACAAATAACAATGAGGTCTTCAAGGATCGGAAATATAACTCTGATTGTATGTACGGGGACAATTTTTACATTTAAAAATATTTCTTTTTCGTCACCCAAACATGCCATCTTATAATCTTTTGTATAAAAAAATAATTTTATTTTTTTTTAATATTTTCCATTATTTTTATACATAGATGTCTCACCTAAACAGTGTCTTGCAAATTTTGCACATTCATGCCGTAAACTATATTATCATTAATATCACTAAACACAAAATGTATAAAGATCACTTCCGTATTCGGTTTAGATATCTCAGTCATATCTTGTACAAATTACGTTTTATTCAGTAAAACAGAGGTTGTGGTTTAAAATTTCACGAATCTATCGATAAACTCTGAGATGCATTTCATATTTCACAAGTTATCGACAAGGTTTGATAGACTTCAACATTGGGCTATTCATATCGTTAAAATGTTTTATTACATATTTGCAAAACTAAAAGCAATGCTGCGCCAATATCGTTTGTATTTTATCTCATAAAAACGACTTTCATATGTAGCCTGTACAGGCGAAAATAATAGAGTGGTTTTAATTAAGTTTAACATGCAATTCCAAAGACACATTAAAATGAAGTTCATCTATTATAAAGAACTATAAACTTTGTTCTATGAATGGCAAAATTTAAAGGTGATACTATCATAAAACGTATCGTGCAATGAATGCATGATCATCATTTTAATAAACTAAATCTTTTATGGTATTTTTGCCAATTGAATGTAAGTTTCTTTTCTTGTTGAGTCTCTTTTTATTTCAACTTGTTTGTTGTCGGATTTTGTTTGTTTGTAATTGTATCTTTATCAATATCTTCTCAATTAATTGATAAATGAAATGTTACATTAATACGTCGCTGAAAAATCAAAAGAGTGTCAAAGGTATAATAAAACTTGCTGATACAGACAACATTTAGCTCAGATATATGACAGATGAACAAGAGTCAGTCACTCACCAACAGTCTAAACAATTGGGAAACCCTTGACAAAGAGTGTGACCTCAGTTTATTGTCTTATGGATTTGGATTATTAGCAGTGTATTCATTATAGACTGTAGTGTAACAAAGTATTATGCGCCATGTCCTTCTGAGTTTCAAATACAGTTGAGAAAAACGATGCAGTGAAAAGGTTAAAAATGTGCTTTTTCACATAGACAGTTATCAAGCTTGCACGTTTCATCAATAATTATGGCTAACAACTTAGCTAACATACACGTTACTCGCCTTAACCTACCCCTCCAAATTCCATTTTAATCATGGAGTCTGCAATGGTAAAATAATGTCTCCTAATAGAAATATTTTTACATGTCTTGGAAGCTTCAAACAGTACGTGTAGTTAACAATAGCATTTACTTCAATTGATAATATAAAAACAAATATATGTAAAAACGTATGAACTTTGTTTAAATAAATAAATTCTACATAACAATTTTCACAATGTTTTAACAAAAACTGATATTGCCATGAAATGAAAACGACGTGTGTGGTATCATCTAAAGATTGTGCAGAATAAGCGCGTTGTTCTAAATGAGCAATTATTTCAGTTGTCCTTTATTAAAAATATACGGACTCTTTTAAAATATATCACAATTTTCAAAATTATCTGTGTAAAATCTAAATTGAATTCATTACAATTCAAACATTGTAAAAAAATCCGCAATTCATGATAACAGTGATCTCGAGTTGAACTATTGCACTTTGATACAACTAGTTAACATTCTATCAAAGCTTGACAAGGCTGGTATGTTAAACTAATTTAAATAGAAAGTTTAAACCATTTGTTGAATCTTTTTATTTTACAACAGTTGTTCAAGATAAGGTTTATTTTATTTTTATTTAAGATCCTGTGTAGTTTAATGATGAAAGTAACATGACAAATTTGATTAAAAGAAAATCTTCCATTATACATAATTTGTCGAAATGAAAGTAAAAAGTTTCAGTTTGAGCTAAAATAGATTTAAATTCGAATTGTTCATGCAGTGAAATCTTATGTCGAACTAGGACAGTTTGAATTTTAACATGTGGGTGCCATTAGAACCATATGAAAGAATAAGTTTAATTCATATATTTGTTAATTGTAGAATGAATAAAACCAAAATCATATAGACATATTTAGATTTAGATACAAATTTAATTGAAACAAAACGTGTGTGCTTTTGATAAGCGTGATCTGGTACCGTAGTAAGTATTACCCACAGTGAATAAACGGAAAATAAAGAAAATCCATTTTGATAAGGCGGAACATTAAAAAAAAACAAATAAAAATATAACAAGATGTTGGCTGCATGAGAAATTATCATTAATCTAATTAGCGTGTAGTTTTTGCTAATTTTTTCTGCTTTTTGTCGACTTAACATCGTCTAGTCGGCATAAAGAGATTTTCAGAGATATACCTCGACTTTAACATGAAAGGAAACATAAAGAATGTTTTTGTAAGATGAATAATGATGTTTGTTTTATATACAAGGAAAAAAAGAAAGAGAAATAAAAATAACTAGGAGAATAACATAACCACCTTAACTTTTATGTATTTTCAGAAGTTTTGAAAGAAGATTTTGTGGAAATGCTTTTCATGTTTTTTCTGTTATCCATTTGCATGAGTATAACTAAGCTTTTTACATTTTGGAATAAAATTTGCAGGATTCTGAAAAATATCCGGAAGCTTTGTAGGCCAAACCTAAAAAAGCATCAAAAACTAAAATCATAACACTATTTTGTTTCCGTCTATATAAAATAACAAAAGTGTAAAATGTTCTGTAGTTTTAGAGATTAGATGTCAACAAAGTATACTCTTCTTTCATTTACCAAAATATGTAACATTTTTTACCAATACGACGTGTATGTATTATGTCGTATCTTTACTTATAAATAGAAGATATTCTAGTTTTTTCTGTAAATACATGATTTATTTTCATCAAGTGGTATAAAAATAAATGTTTAATGAGTGGCGGTAGCCACGAGTAAAATACATGTATGTTAATTTTCATGCCACAAGATGAAAATAAAGCATGAATTTTCTGTTTATTATATACATTTTCCTCTTTTTTGACATTACAATTTGAAAGACTTTCCCTTAAATGTTGTGTACTGGCAGAATTTAAAAGAAAGTAGTCCGTCAAGACACCAGTGAAAATACGGAAAATATGTTTCACCGCAGTGAAAAATAAATTTTTACAGTGAAAATACGGAAAA